ATATACATACATAATGAGTGAGATGTGCACCATCTGGGGGATGGTCATGATGGAGACTCAGACTTTTGGGGGGAGGGGGGAAATGGGCATTTATTGAAACCTTAAAATGTGTACTCCCATAATATGCCGAAATAATATATATATATATATATATAAAAGAAACGTTCAAGTTTGCAGACATTATTGGTAGGCAGGGAATTTTAAATATATACAGGGTCCCAGGGGAAACTGTAAGATGCAGAGGGAGACTTAGACTTTCTGTGGAAAGCTGTCCTTAACCTCCTGTGCTTCTGATATTAACATCCACCTGCACCTGCCCTGAGCTGACTCAGTCCCCTAGTGGCCCTGTGCACCCCCACAGGAGGTTTGTGTGTGGGTTCCCAGTGATGTCCCCTCACTGTGTGTCTGGCACAGTAGTACATGGCTGTGTCCTCAGCTCGCAGACTGTTCATTTGCAGATATAGCTAGTTCTTGCCATTGTCTGTGGAGATGGTGAACAGGCCCTTCAGAGTGTCTGCATAGCTTGTGCTACTACTATAAATGTATGAGATCCACTCCAGCCCTTTCCCTCAAGACTGATTGACCCAGTTCATCCCATAACTGGTCAAGGTGAATCCAGAGGCTACACAGGAGAGTCTCAGGGATCCCCCAGGCTGGACCAGGCCTCCCCCAGACTCCAGCAGCTGCACCTCACACTGAACACCTGCAAACATAGACACATCCTGGTTAGAAACTGCCACATACCCCCTGTTAGTCTCATACCCACTCACAAACCAAATATTTCTACTTCTCCATGAATTACCTTTTAACAGAGCAACAAGGAAAACCCATGTCAGCCTAGTCTCCATGGTGAGTCTCTGTGTTCAGTCCTGATCACTGAATGGGATTGCTGGGGCTGGGGCTCCTCTCCCAGAGCTGCAGGGTGAGGGCTGGGCTGGTTTTCATCAGCAGAGGGAGGGCCCTATTTGCATGTCCCCTGCTATATAGCAAGCTCTGGGTGGGACACCTGAGTAGAGGGAAGGGCCCAGAGAAGAAAGGAGTCCTGGGGTCAGTTATGGGTCAGGACATCTTCAAGATGAAATTCTAAAAAGAAAAGCATGAAGAAGTTATTCAATGTCTCCAACAGCAAGCACATATCTGGTGAGAGGTACCTGTGGTATCTGGGCCTGTGCTTCCCAGCACTACACTCTGCTTCTCTGCTGAACCAACTGCAGGATAAATGTGAACATGCTTCATAGGGTTGGCAAAGTCCTCTTTCTGCAATGAGAACATGATGTGATTTTGCTGCATTCCAGTGTTACAACTTCAAGGTTGTAGAATCAAAACTTTGGGCCACAGAATCCACACTTTCCCTGGCACTGTTGTGAATTAACTCTGACATGACCCTCACTCAGCTGAGGGGATACAGGTTCACAGGAATTGTCAAATGCAACTGCTTCTTCCTCTGTGTTGGGCCAAGGGTACAAGGGTGGGGCCAAGAAAAAATCCACTTAAGATTGTCCTTACATTTCCCTCTTGCCAGGAAGGTCCACACAGGCCCATATTCAGTCCATCTGGCTATCACAGGCTTGGGACAGTACCAGCCCTAATCTTTGTGGAAGTCATACTATGAGTGTGAGTGCTCTGGCTCCACTTGTTAGTACTTGTCATTCACTAATGTCCCCTCCCACCTTCACTCTGGATCCTTCTAACACACGGCCAGCACTTTGCAGTGAGGGTTGCTGTGTGTTGTTCCCTGATGGGGTGACTCAGGCCTGGGCACTGCAAGGGCATTGTCCTTGGTCCCATGGCTACCCTCAGGCATGTGGTTGATCCAATTAACCTCCCCAGTGTTGAATGCAGTGGAGAAAACCCAGAAACTGCCTGAGGGGCTGCCCCTGCCTCCACGGGTGCACACACACTTAGCCTCCAAAGCAGAGTTAATGTGTATCAGTGGGAGAGTGCCTTTCATTTTTGACTTGTCCACAGTCATAAGGACCCCAATTGAGGGGTATCAGACCAGGTCTCAGACTCAGGAGAGCACATTGTGCCCCCAGCAGGAATGATCCTTCCTGGAAACCAGGACTTCTAACCAATCACAACCTAACATTGTGGCAGTCAGAGGAAAGATTTCTCAAGTTGGTACCATAATGTGTTGATAGGAATTAATCTCACCTCTACCCTTGATTTGCAGACAAGACCCATATATTAATTTTTGTTGTTGCAGTGATTACCATTGGACACTTAATAAACCCTTGGCATAAGCTCGCATAAGATGGAATCCACTGAAGTTTGTCCTTATATTTCCCGCTTGCCAGGCAGGTGCACACAAGCCCAGGTTCAGTCTATGGGGCTGCCACTTGCTTGGGACAGGACCCGCCCTAATGTTTGTGGAAATCATAATGTGAGTGAGAGTGTCCACTGCTGCAGGTGGCCCTGTGGTCATACTTGACATTCACTAGTGTCTCCTCCTACTCCCATTCTGGATCCTTCTAACACATGGCCAGCACTTTGCAGTGAGGGTTGCTGCATGTTGTTCCCTGATGGAGTGACTCAGGCCTGGGCACAGCAGAGCCATTGTCCTTGGTCCCTTGGCCACCCTCAGGCATGTGGTTGATGGAATTGACCTCCCTAGTGGTGAATGCAGTTGACAGACCACAGTAACTGCCTAGGCCTGCAGTAATGAACCTGCCTCCTTGGATACACACAAGCTTAGCCTCCAAAGCAGAGTTAATGTCTGTCAGTGGGAGAGTGCCTTTCATTGTGGACTGGTCCACAGTCATGGAGACCCCAATTGAGGGACATCAGACCAGGTCACAGATTCAGGGGAGCACATTGTTCCCCAGTAGGAGTGATCCTCCCTGGGAAACAAGACTTCTAACAATCACAGCCTACAATAGCGACAGTAAGAGGAAAGATTTTACAAGTTGTCACCACGGATGTGTTTGAAAGAATTAATCTCGCTTCTCCCCTAGATTTGTAGACCCAAGTGCCACAGCACTCTGGAGTGCCCATTGTCTTGGGCAACATGGAGCTCCCTTCATGACCTCATGACCTAGGAAGCCCTAAAATGGAGTTTTGTTTAGGGTGTATGCTACCTCTTGGAAGACAGTGTCATAAATTTGTGGGTCAGACTCACTCAGAACTATTTTCAGAGACTTATATCTGACCTTTAGTTTTTCTATCCTGCTGTGTATTTCTGGGAAAATCTGAACGATGTAGTGTGATTGGACCCTGTGCTCACATCCCCATGGCTGCATCTTGTATTCTCTAATGACAGACAGATTCCTTGCTCTTGGACAGCACCATACATGATCGCATGTCAGAGACACACACGTCAGAAGCTGAGCAGTGGTTCTGACAGAAGCACTGTGGCAGGAAAAGCAAACTGACATTACAATGCTGCTAAGTTTTGGTTTGGACAGATCACTGCCTCTCAAGAGGGGATGTGGTCACAAGTAATCAACATGCTACCATGTGGACAGTGGGTGTCCCGGCAGGATGAGGCTATGCTGACATACTGGGGTAATGTATGTCACTGTCAGCTCAGCCAATTAGCAAGAGGACCTAGGTCAGGCTTGCTGGGAGGAAGCTTTGGTCATACTCCATGCTCGAGCTGGAGGAGGTGTGATATTGACACAGCCAGCACAGAAACTGGTAGGGCAACTCTGGTTGGACTCCCTGAAGTCATTGAAATATGATTTCCCTTCACACTCTGACCCAGGGGAACAGCTTTCAGTTGCTTGGAGATGCTGATGCATTTTCAAGACTAATATATTTGGGGGGGGTGCTCTATGCTATTACTAAATGCTGAAATGGATGCTTCATTCCATCTCAGTAGCCCCAAAGTCTTAGCTCATTCCAGGATTAACCAAAAAGCCCAAAGTCTAAAGAGTCATATGAATCAGATATGCGTGAGAGTCACAGCAAATTCCTGCAGCTGTGAGCCCATAAGGTCCACACAAGATATGGACTTCCAAATTTCAGTAGTAGGACAAGCAAAGGATCAGCATTTTCACTCTAAAAGAGGGATATAGGTAAGAATAGATGGGTAATTTGCCCTAAATGAGTCCAAAATCCAACGGGGAAAGAATATTAAGCCTTAAATGTGAAAAAAACAATAATCTCCTTATTTTCCAAGCCCAGCTTCCTGGGCAGGCTGGGGCAGGAGTTGGGCCTCAAAGCCTTGGGCAGCCCCATCCCCCTGACTTCACAGGGCTCAGAGCACACAGAAGCTCTCACAGGCTGCAATCACCTGCCACAGCTCTGTCAGGCTGGCATTGCCACTGGTGACTGTGCAGTCTGGGGTCTCCCAGGGCTTCACTAGGCATGGCCCTGGTGGGCACTCTCTGTGGCAGCTCCACAGGTGGCAGTTTCTGCCTGGGGGCACAGACTGCCTGTGGCATCCTCTGAAATCTGGGTGCAGGTGTCACAGGTGTCAAAGTTACATCCAACGTTACAGAAAGGAATCTCAGGACTTTCACAAAACTGAGCAATAGTGGAACTTACTTGTGAAAGGAGACAGGCTAAGGAAAGTCTGTGTAGAAGCATAGGAAGCTCCCAAGACGTGAACAAGTGGCTTGAAAACAGCTGCTGCCCCACACAGAGTGGTGGCTGTTTTTGTCTGTGGAAGACACAGGAGGCTGGGCAGGCAGTGCTCACTGTGCTCTTACACACGTGTAACGGGGAGAGTCACTTTGTACCTGTTGAGTGCTGGGAGGCTAATGTCTGGTGTCTTCTCCTCGGGTCAGTTGTTCAAGGGCTGTTAATTGTCTTTTCCATTCCCTCCCCTGCTCCTGCCTGACTGCCTATTCCAACGGAGGAAGCCCCCCCCCCATGCTTGCATTTTGTGCACCTGCACAATTAGCAACACCTGGACCCCACCAAGTTTCACAACTTGTACCTTCCTGAGCTGTAGGTTTTGCCCCACCATGAGTCCCTTGAACCACAGCTGGGTGCTCACCGGGTGCTGCCCCAGGGTGCAGGGGGCAGAGACTGCATGTGGCACTGGGCAGCAAGCCATGACAGGCCCCCAGTCCCGTGTGCTCAAACCATCCTTCCCTCCTCGTGCTTGCAGTCTGAGATGCAGTGGGCAGCCTTGAAGATCCCTGAGATGCCATCAGAGTTTTCCTCCCATTGTCTTGGAAAATGTGATGGAATCTGCCCTTTCTGTCCTTGCCAAACTCTGATAAATGATTGCTTGGTCACATCCAGACATGAGTTTTCACCCTTTATATGGCCAGGCTGTGAATTTTCCAAATTGTTCTACCTTGTTTCTTTTGAAACCTTCCAATAAACAGTTAAAGGTAGTCTCACAGCAACGTTAATGTTTTTGTTATTGGACATCTGCTCTTCCAGACAGCCTAGCTTGTCACTCTTGGATTGCTGCCATCTGTGGCACCCCTGGCATGGACACAGTTCAGCCAGTTCTATGCTACTGTATAGTAGGGAGGTTTTCACTGACATTTACAGTAGTTTGAGCCTCATTTCCATGTGAGACCTCGTCAGAATGGCATCTACTTACTGTTCATACGTCCATCAGCATTTTGTTCATGACCACGTAGGTATGCCCTAACAAAATTCAGGTTTTCCCTCAGCTGTTCTCTTCTTTCAGCCCTTCCTCCCCAGAATCACCCTGAATGCTCCATGTGTGGCAATTTGGGCTTTTTCTAGCCTGACCGATGGATTCCTTTCTGCCTGTTTCCATTTCTCAGTTCGAGAGCCACTTCTTCATTTCGGGTATTTGTTGCAGCAACAACTCTTATTTCTTGGTACTAGTTTTCTGTCTCAGTTTATTCTGCTGCTATAACAGAATGCCACAGACTGTGCAATTTATAAATAAAGGGGATTTATTTCGCTTACAAATCTGAAGGCAGAAATTTCCAATATATAGGGGCCACATCTGTTGTGGAAGTCCTTGCTGCATCCTAACAAGGGGGAAACCATCCAATGGCAGAAAAGAATGTGAGACAGAGGACATGGGGGTGGGTTGAACCCACAGAAAACCCAGAGCCTGGGTAATGGCATCAGTCCACGCATGCGGCAGAGCTCTCCTGATTCAACCCCCTTGTAAAGATCCCAACACCCAATACCATCCCATTACCAAATAAATGTCAACAAGAGATTTTAAGGGGCATTCAAGCCATGGAAAATTGGGTGGTGGTGACCTGTGCAAGTTCTCACTGCATTTGAGCACCAGCTGTATGCGTTACCACCACAGATGTCTCCATGGTTTCCTGGCCTCATCACTATTATCCAAGCAGCACCCACTGGCGACCCCTGAGAAGGCGCTGAGTCACCCTTGCCTTTGGGATCCCAAGGGAAGCCTCTGCAGCTAGTGAAGACCCCGAGTGCTCACCCACCCACTTCTGTGACAGGCTCTCTAATGCCGACATTCCACCAAAGGGGACACTGCCCTGTTCCTCCGGAGGGTGGTCACTCTGTGGAGTCCTGTTCAGTTCCTCACTTGTGCACTTCAGATCTCTGACAGGTCCAGCAACTGTGAGTTTGTGGATTTTCTTGCATTAACCATGGTTGCCAAGGGAGAGAATTCATCTTGCAGCTACATATACCAGAAGTGGGGTGAGTGCACATGTAGTTGTTTTTAAACAAAGGTTCTTTGACACCTCATTTCTTAAGAATTAAGTTAGTCAAAAATGTTGCCTGAACTTCATGATTTATCACACTTTCTTTTATAAATCACATATTACAAATGCTCTTAATTTATATTTGAAGATAAGTGTTGCACTATCTGTCATCAATCTCTTTTATTTGGCTAATTTCTTGTCACCAGGTAATAAAAGCCATTAAGTTAACCCAAATCTATGTTACAATAGTTGTGCATCATAAGTTCATGTTTTCTCTGCTTCCTTTCCTTTTGCCGAAACCCACACCCTCACCCCCAGGTCGTCTACCAACCTTGCCAGAATACAGTGGGCCTGGTGTGTGTTTCCACACCAGCTCCTCTGGATTGACAGCACGTGTGTTTTCCTTGTGTATCTCCTGAGAACACTGTGTGGGTGCTGCTTGGAGTCTACATGCTGGGTGCTCCCATCTAGGACAGTTCCCCAGCTCTCTGATCTTGCTCAGTGTCAACAACCAAAGCGTCTTTTAACAGAGTTAAGGGGGTATTTCTGGGCTTAGAGGGAAGTAAATCCCAGAGCCTTGCAGAGCAGGAGCCTCCAGGGGTGGATGTAGAAAAGGCAAGGGGGGAGGAACTCAACCTGTCAAGAACGCAGGAGAAAGCTGCCCCCCCTCCCTCCCCCTGTTTCCTTCCTTGCACCTGCCCTCAGCTGATGCCTGGCAGAAGTGGCCCAATGCGCCCCCTGGTGTCCTTCACTCCCCTGCATAGGAGGTTTGTGTCTGGGCTCACACTGAAGTCCCCTCACTGTGCCTCTCGCACAGTAATACATAGCCGTGTCCTCGGCGGTCAGGGAACTCAGCTGCAGGGAGAACTGGTTCTTGGACGTGTCAGCGGTTATGGAGATGCGGCCTTGGAAAGCTGGGTTGTAGCTTGTGCTTCCTATCCAGTACCCCATCCACTCCAGTGCTCTCCCAGGACGCTGGCGGATCCAGTGCCAGTAGTAACTGGTGGTGACAGAGCCCCCAGAGACAGAGCAGATGAGAGACAGGGTCTGGGAGGGCGTGACCAGTCCTGGGCCCGACTCCTGCAGGGTCAGCTCAGACAAAACACCTGGGGACAAAGAGAGTCACAGTGAGTGTGCCTCATCCCACAAGGAGGCCCATGTAAACACCTGGAGCCCCCTAGACCCTCACCCAGCGGAGCTGCCACCAGGCAGAGGAGAGTCCACAGTGTCTGCATGGCTCTGCAGGTTGAAGATCACCGTGCTGGCCCAGCCTGTGAGGGGGATTTGTTCTGCCTGCACCCTGGGTGATTTGCATGTGAGTCCCGGAGGGTACAAGAGGCAGAGCTAGTGGTTCCTGTTGACCCATTGCTGGGAGGTGTGGGAGCTGCTCAGTCTGGGCTGGTGATGTGTGAGTAACCCTGGCCAGCTGCTCTCCTGCACTGAGGTGGGAGGGTACGGTCCACAGTCTCTGAGCTCATGAAGGAAGTGTTTGGGGATTCTCTGATGTTCCATCATCAGGATGTGAGTTCTGTGGAGAGACTCTGCTAGATTGGAGTGTGAGCTGTGGTGCAGGGTCCAGAGCAGTGACTGCCTCTCTGGTTGGGGCTGTGGTCTACCTCTGCACTGATACAGGGACCTCCATCTTCAACAGTGGGAAATAGAAGGAGCAAGGTCCATCGCTGATATAAGAGAAGCCTTCATGTATGTCACCCTCCCTGCAGGATCTGGGCCATGTCAGAAGTCTGAGAAAAGGCTGCAATCAAGTGTAGGTTGTACAAGAAGGATTTAGAACTGGATAGAGGGATTCAGTGACTTTTGCAGGTGCTTAACATCATGGGATATGTCTGGGGTGGAAAGGGGGCACCCCACTGGACAGGAAGGCCACCTGACCTCCCTGTGCTAGATGTGGGACTCCCACTCAATTTCCAGTGTCGGGAGTCCAGGGAGCGACAGTCAGACCATTACTGCCAGGGACTGGTTAAATGGATTTCTATTCAAACTGAGCAATATAAGATTCTTAAAAACAATGACAGTACCCCAAACTGGATTCCAAAATAAAAATAAGACAGCTCATTTGAAAGTCTTTTCACAAGTCATGATGTGGTGAGAAAATGCAAAGTTTCTCTATTTTTGTTTTTTTCACTTTGCAGCTCATATCCAGATATAAAAGACATACAAGTAGTCAAGGAAGAAGTAAAATTGTCCTTGTTTGTTGTCTACATCATGTAGAATATCCTAAAGACTCCACAAAAAAAACCTGTTAGATCCAATATTAATAGATGAATGCAGTAATGAATGTGAATAAAAATGAACACGGAAAAATCAGTAGCATTCTATATACAATCAGTGAACTTTCCACAAAATGAAGAGACCAATTCCATTTATAATAGCTAAGAAATTTACAATAATTAAGAATAAGTTTAGCCCAGGAGATGAAAGACCTGCACAATTAAGTCTATAAAAATTTCATGAAAGAAAATAAAGAGAGACTCATGCATAGAAAGACATCTATGTTGATGGACTGAAGGAATAGATAATGTTAGAATGTTCATGCTGTTCAAAGTCCTTTGCATATTCAATGCAATCTTTTCCAATATTTCAATGTAATTTTACATTATTAATAAAATAACACACAACCCTAACAACAACTTAGCAGTAGAAAACATGATGAGAAAAAAGAACAAATTCAGATGCATCACACTACCTGCTTTCAAACTATACTACAGAATGAGGGAGATAAAACTGCACAGCACTGGCATAAAAGTGCATAAAGTCAATGAACATAACAGCGCATAGTTCCCAGATATAACACCTAGAATTTACAATCAATTTCTTACTGTCAATTTTGTAAGGGATACACAAAAATGAAGGATGGCCTGTTTATAAATGATATTGGGAAAATTGAATATCCACATACAAAATAAAAATGAACCTGTTGTTGCACAATATGCAAAAATACACTGAAAATGAATTAAAGATAAGCATACAACCTGAAATGGTAAAACTTCTTGAAGAGAATATTGGCCGGGGGTGTGGGGTTGTCTAACCGCACAGCATTCACCTGGGTAATGCATTTTTAAGTTTAACCCCCAAATCCAAGAAGACAAAACAAAGTCATCAAACGAGATTGAATCAAACTATAAACATTCTGTGGAAGAAAGGGGACAATTAAGAAAGTGAAGACAACCTACATACTGGGAGGAAATATTTGCAAGCTATTAATCTGATAAGGGGTTAATATTCATAATATATAAATACATGTAAAAACTCTATAGGAAAAACCTAATCAATGACAACATGAGCAAGAGATCTTAGTAAACATTTCCCAAAAGAAGAATTATGAATGACCCACAGATATGTGAAGGAAATGTTCAATATCACTGTCTATTAGGGAATTGCAATCAAAACCTCAATGAGTTATCATCTCACTCGTGTTAGTATGGTTATTATCGAATTGATGAAATATAACATCTGGCTAGGATGTGGAGAAAAGAGGACTCTTGTGCTGTTTGTGGAAATGCAAGTTAGTACAGCCAATAGAGAACATGGTATGGGGGTTCCTTGAAAATCTCACACTAGAATCACCATAGGATGTTGCTATTCTACTTCTGGGTATTTACCCCAGAACATGTGAACTCAGTATGTCAAACATATGTGTGCAGTCCCGTGTTTATTGCAGCACTCCTCTCAGTAATCTAGGTGTGGAGTCAACCTGCACGTCCATCAACAGATGGGTCGATACAGAAAATGTGGTCTATACACGATGGCACAATGGAATGCAAGCCACTCAAGGAAAGAGAGAAAAGAAAGAAATGCTGTCATTTGTGAGAACATGGGTAGAACTGAAAAACATTGTGCTAAATGATATCAGCCATTAGTGGAAAGACAAAGGCTCCATGATTAAAATATAATTTATATGTATGGAATTTCAAACACTAAAAGTCATAAAAGCAGGGAATAGAAACGTGTTACCAGATGCCGGGGCGAAAGGAATAGCGGGATGATGAGCAAAAGGTACAAAGCCTCAATTAGGATAATTTTTTTGAGGTCTATTGCATTTGGTTGTGAATATAGCTAAAATAATTTATTTTGCATCCCATAATCTTTAAGAGAGTGATGAAAAATGTTCTGAACACAAGAAATGAGTTCATTAGGTCGTGGACGTGTTGACTAGATGGATCTGGTGATTCTACCTCGCATTCAGCAGTCACACCCTCAGTGTGCCCAAACCACACACAGGACAACGTGTGGATTCACAACAGTAAGAAACACCAACAGGAGGTGGATTCGCAGCTTCCTAGGGTGGGGTGGCTCCCGGTCCGGAAGTGACCCTGTGCATAGCGTTTCCTGGGGCAGTGATCTCCCTCCGGGTCAGGCTGGGGAGGCTGTGTGGCGCCCTCACGTGCACAGCTACCTCAGCCGGTGCGCCAACTCCCCGTGCAGAGTCTGAGCTCCAGTGTAGACACAGCCGGAACCCTGTGCCAGCAAATGCGCAGCACCGTGAGCTCTGTGGCAGATGCACTGTCGCGGAGCCGACCAGCCAGCCGCGAGGTCCCCAGGGACATGCGACACAGAGGGAGCCACCGCGTGGGGGACCAGCAGGGTTGAGCCCAAGGGCACCAAGCGCATGTGCCAGAGCACTCGCCAGAGAGCGCCCCCTGGTTTCCGGCGGCCCCAGCTCCGCTGCAGGTCCCAAGGCACCTGGAGTGGGTACCGCAGCTCAGACACAGAGGCCTCTTAACTGCCTCTCCCTTGGACACAGCAGAGTGTCTGGAAAAACAGCCTGGACCTCAGGACCCTCTCCTTGAGAGAGGACTTTGATGAACACAAATACTCTCAGTGCTACACACACAGCTGGGGAAGCTGCTCAGCTACTCGTATGATGGTTGAGTAACCCGGTCTTCGTGAACAAACCTGCATATTCTGCACTGTCCATGTCTTCTCATTGCCAAGTAATTGAATTCAGTGAACATGTTTCCCCCCAATTTCTGGTGGAAAAACTTCATGACTTTTTACAATAGAACTGTATCGCTAACAGTTTGCGGAAGAGATGTGCTTATCAGGGTCAGAGGAAAACTTTCTGCTGCAGGAAGCAGGTTCCCTCTGACCAACCCCTGAAAGCTGCAGTCAGAGTCCACATATCAGTGAGTCCTGGCATGTGGCTGTGATCTTATGAGTCAGTCCTGGTGCCGAGCACAGCTCCCTTCTGAGTAGCTGTGTGACCCTGAGGATGTGGCCTAACACCCATGAGCTTCACTCTGAAAGATGACGATGGGGAGTAAAAGTGATAATTTAACACGTATGCTATTACAATGATGTTGGCATTGTTAGATATTCTCATCCCCTCCAGTAGTGTCATTTCCTTTCCTAGGATCCACAAAGGACCTGGGTGATCCTCACCTCTGATGGCCCAGGGAACCCCTGCTCTGGCCCTGCCCTGACATGTCACACCTGTGAGGCTGGGGCAGGTCCTGCACTCTCAGCAAAGGGTCCTCAGACACACCGACTCAGTCAGACCCTGTTGTCTCTGAAAGGCCCTTTCCTCCATATCATTTCATGAGCAGAGCATTGGACACACCCTAGCTGAACCTGGATGATCAACCATATTAGTCAAGGAAATTTAGTAATTACCTTCCTCTCTGAATGTAGGTCATAGGAGAATCCCCTGAGGTTGAATGAGACAAACTAACAAGACAAATCTTGGCTTCCCTGGTACCGATCTAGAGCTGGGCTGAGGTGCTATGGGACAGTGGAGGGGAACAGATAGACCCAACATCCAGAAAAAGGTGAAACATGACTTGCAAGGTGGTCACTGAGCCCATGATTTGAACAGATGTAGAACAGGCTGTCCTGGCCTTCAGGGAGTTGTAAGTCTCACACTGGTTCCTTCCAGATAACGATGGGTATCAGCGTAAAAACAAGAAATGATTTTGCTTTCCTCAGGAAGGAGGAGAACATAGGAGAGGGCAGTCAGGAGGGGAAGAGGGGAGAAAATGAGGAGACTCTTGGACAAAGGACCATCTGGGGCAGGCATTTCACACTGGAGGGACAGGACTGCAGGGTTCTGTGTTGTTCTACTGTGGCCACAAGGACACAACTCACACGGAACTTGTTGCCACCACAGAGCGCTCAGCACACTGAGGTTTCCTTCTGCAGGTCTGCCCGATGCCATAGGTGTTGAATGTGACTCTGTGAGAGTCTCAGTGGACATATCCTACTTTGGCAAGTCTATTTTATTCTATCTGCTACTAA